AGAGTGTCTCTTAAATTTCTCCTCCAGCCAGGCGCGCGGGCTTCTTCGTGTGTGCTGATACAGAGGATATCACAGTGCTAGCCTGGAGGACACAACCCAGTCTCACTCACGTGGTGCTCTGCTCCAAACCCTCTTACGCTATGCAGCAGTATGCACTTTCGCACTCAGCACAAGAGTTTTCTAGATGTGTTCTGATTCACTTTTCCAGAAGCGGAAGCACCAAAAGTGAGAGGCTCTTCTGCAGATTTAACTTGTGTCTAGCTCCTACTCACTGTCATTAAAACCAGCTTCCATCTCCAACAGAGCAGCTTTGACTCCTTGGCCAGCAAGATTCATGGAAAAATAGAAAATTCAGGGAGACCAATGGCATTTCTGTGAGGCCAATTTCTGAACATCTGATCAATGAGCTACTATAAAAAAAAAGTCACAGAAGACTTCTAAAAAGGCGGTTTCAGTAGACTAAAAATACAAAATGCAGACTGATGGTATGAAAGGACTCTTCTCCACTTACAACATCAACAATACCAATCTCTTTTCCTACAGCCATAACTTAATTTGTTCAAGGCTGCAAACATTTGGGACAAATATCCAAAACAAGGGAACTAGAAATGGAAACTGGACATATTATTATCTTATAATAATAAAATCTAAATAATAATATAATAAAATAGCTATTCTTCAATTATTTAACCAATATTGAGTTTATTGCTTCAATTACCTTAATTACAAATAAAACCTTATAAATCTATTCATTTCTACAAGGGAAAAAGAAAACCTTATGATCTGAGAAATATGCTATGTTGGCACTCCATCTGTGTGACTCAGTAGAAAAAAGGAGAAGAAATGTGTTGCAAATTATGTTTGTTTGGCTCTGGAGAGCAGCTTAGTGATCTGCAGCACTAGCTGAGCCTTGCTGCCACTTTCTCACATGCTAGCACAAAGAGTAAAACCTCTACAATAAATAAAATCAAGCGTTTGTCTTGGAGAAGAATAAAGACTTGTTCGTGTGGCCCCAAAGCAGGGTGAGGATCTCAGAGGCCCCCCGTTTAAAGCTGTTCCCCTCTTCAAGCTGAGCAATGTAATTAATCTCCATGCCTCATTTGCTTTCTTCTGTAAGAATATGAACATAAATATGTATATTTCTAGCCTGTTATGAGTAATTACACTAGTTTAGTGAAGCAAGTATGTTATATTAGTAAGAATACCATGTAAGTGCAGTCTCATCGCTGCCCAGCCTTTTTGTTATTATCTGCTAAGTCACATCTTGTAATTAACTGATGTTACAAGACAATTTTGTATTCATTTTTCTACTTATAAGCACACGGAGTGTGCTGCTTCCTTTTGGGAGCCAGTATTATGTCTAGCTAGAACTCAAAGCAAAGCCCTCCGAACCACAAGAGCACGTGCATCACCTGCAGAGTCCCAGGGCTGGCATCCGATCGCATGCTACTTCACTGCTAGCCATTTGAAGGCATTTGTGAGTACTTCTCCTCACAGCATGACACAGATTTCGCTCTTCACATCTCGTTACATAATGCTTTCATCACGATTCTCCTGACATCTTCAAACAATCCTCCACTTACTTCTCCACTTCCTCTTAATAAAAGGAGCAATACTGAGCCCATAAATCATTTCTTTTCCAAAGGCAAGAGCAGGACATACAATACTGAATGCTTAAAAACTTATCAAGTCTCCCGGGGTACCAAATGGAACCATGGATGCTCCACCTCGGGGGCATCCTCATTTCCATTGCATCTCTGGAAATGCGGTGACTGCTTCCTCGGTGGAGGCACTCCCAAGGCAAGTGCCAAGTGGGGAGAAGGTGTTTATTCATAACAGCATGTCTGTGGGTTTTGAATTTTAGCACGTGCTTGGACTTTATTGGTGCCAATCAGCCCTTTGGATCTGCCAGTCACTGAGATGATGCCTCGAGTGGGCTGCCTCGTGGTTTCTACAGCCTGTGCTTCTTCAACAGGGATCAAAATCTGTTGGGGATGGCAAACTTCTGCGTGTTGCTGTCTCTACTCTTCCCCTACTTCTGCTGCCCAGCAAGCCTTCCTTTCTGCCACTTTGCATAGTGCTCACAAGGAAGGTGGCTCCAACCCACTCAGCAGCACGAAATTGTGTTTCTCTTCAAAGAGCACTCTGCAAAAGATTTTGTAGTTCTTCTGAAGAAAACCTTTCCATTGGCTAACAAATGCTAGTAAACTTTATCAAACACATTAAGTAATCTGATAGGTCGTAACCTAGCAGCTGCTACCTTAGTCTGTATACCTGAATCTTTCTAGGTCAATGTGGAAATGAAAACTGGGTAACAAATGCATTGAAAAGGAAGGATAGATAAAGCAGATTTAAGCAATTTGGGCTGGGAACTGTCTTCAAAACTCAGCCAACAGAAAACACAAACTCTTCAGCTGAGCTGTGTAAGAAACAGAGAAGCCCACAGAGGAGTCGTGCTGCTCTCCTGGGGTGATGAGAAACCACCCTGCAGTGAAGGGAGGGGTGGGGAAGGGTTCATTGTGAGGTAGACTGGCTAGCAATGAGGTATATTTTCAAGAGGAAAAAAAAGCTGCTTGCAAAGTTTACACAGCTGGGATGTCTCTTGTCACATGTGAGCTGGTGCAGCCCCTGCTAAGTTTGTGTCCTTATACCCTGTCCAGAAGGCACACCCAGTCCCAGCCCCCAGCAAGGGCAGTGTGATGCCTTCCCGGCGGGCACAGCCTTGCCCACAGCTGGAGCCACCATGAAGGGCCGTGGCACCAATCTGGAGATCCACCAGCACGTGCGTGCCAGCGTGTGGATCTGTTTTCCGGGGCTGTATTTTGCCTGCCGTAGCGGGAGAGAGGAGGCAGGACGAATGCTCCTGCACGTCCCCCCGCACAGCAGTGTTACACGCCCCAAGAATGACCCATGCCCACGGGTGTCCATGAGAGCTTCCCAATTGACTTCAACACCGTCAGGACCAAAATCTTGCCAAAAACACTGACAGGAAAAGAAATCAAGACCTGAGCTATTTCTGACAGTAACAAGAATGGCGCAAGTTGAGGGCTTTCTTTGCGAGCTTTCTTGCGTTGGGTCTGCGGAATCCCAAATTCCTCCCTAACCGTGAAATCCCAGCAGCAGTGGCTGAAGACAGTGCAGTCTGTTTAGCTCGTTAGCAGGATCACATCTGGCACACAACACCCCTCCCTGACCATGATAACAGGGCGCTCCCCAGCTCCAACCAGCCTTGCCAGCCACCCTTTAATTCCTCCATGGAGGAGCAGCAGGCACTGTGCTGCCTACACCACACAGCACAGGTAGCAAGCAGTGATGGGATGCTTCAGCTCTCCGACGGCCACCTCTCACCAGTGACTCATCACAGCACAGTGATGTTTGGATGCCACGTGGAGATACAACTTCATGTTCCTGTGACCTCCGACGGCCAAGAACCCCCATAAACTCAGCATGTTCACAGGAGGACAGATGCCACCGTACTTATTAAATTCTTACAGTCTAATGAAACCCCCCCCTGCTGCTTTCAAAGTGTGGAAAACATAAAGTACCTCCTTGTGCCACTGCTGCTCCTGCAGCTGCTAAAGGAGTGGGTTTCTTCCCCGTCTCTGTAAAGCCATTCCCCTCCAGAACTGCACCTTTCCCTTCTGTTTTCCCAGCAGCTGTTGAAGCAGAAGTTTCCATCTTAGACTTGCATCTTCCAGGTCAGCAACCCTACAGGACATAAAACAAAACCAGATTCTGGTCACCACTTACAAAAGAGGCAAAATCAGCTCCATGAGGAAGCAGCCGATGGCTCGACATGGCTCAAAGGTAAACAGAGAGCAGCAAAGATTTCCTGGGTTTCTAACTCTAGCAGTGTAGCCAGTGCAGCAGTTAGAGACAGAAAGGGCACAGCCCTGCAAAAGGGTGGGTATTCTCACATCCTGTCAACGTTAGGCAGTTGAAGACCTAAAAGGATCAGGATCAAAATAGATTTTTTTCCCCACTTAAACTTAGGCTGTATAATAAAGCTAATGGGTCCAAAGAGCTTTCCAGGATTAAAGGACAGGTGAGACACAAAAATTTAACATGTATAAAACCAATCTGTCCATCCTATACATGACCTAGCCCATCATAACAAAAAACTGAGTCAGCTAAGAATTTTCAGCAAATATACAGACAGAAATAATTTTAATGTGGGGTTTTTTTCCTCCTCGGTGCTTATTCTGTGCACTGGTTCTGAAGCAGTGCCCTGACCAGAACATCCAGCAGTGATCACGGATAAGCCACAGCAGGCCTGCAAGAGCCCATCCAGCTCTCACTGGTGAGGACTAACATAACATCCACCGATTCCTGACTCTCCTGAGCAAGTTCTTCTATTCTGACTGGTCACATACGAAAATCAGCTACAGCTTTAGCCCCATTACAAATGGTGAATTAAGTGCCAGTGAAAGCTCCATGAAACAAGAAGATACCAAAGCACAAATAACCCTTTTTTGTTAAACTTAGGTCCATGAAAAATAACAGCTCCTGAACTTGTTAACTTGATTGTTCATTCTGCATGACTCATATACATCTCATCTCCCAAAAGCAAATGTATGCATATCCCAAATTTAAAGCAAAAATGGGGCTTCTCTTGAATGAGGACGCATGCTTCATTGCTGACTGCAAATACTTTTGTTTGCCCTATTTTCACTTGTTTTATTTCAAATGTCTCCACATCGCTCTTGTTTTCACAGAACCCACAGAGTTACCTGGTACTACCGCCCTCGGGCTGGTCCTGGGAAAACCCACTGCTAATTCCTCCTTTCCTTTCTAATTTTAATGCAGATCTGCAATTTTTCACATGCAAATTTTCAGATGCAAATTTTTCAGCTCCTGAGATACTCTGGAGCACATAGGCTGTTTACCTTACTGGAGTTAATGAGATCAGCCAAAAGATGTCTGGGAAACCAGAAAAAATTTTTGTCTGCAGGTAGTTTTACTGCCATACTGTCAGCTCAAACTTCCCTCTGAAGGGATTAACTGACTCCTGAGCATCCTGGATTAAAAAATTAACACTCTTAAAAACTTTAAAGCACGTGAAGATTTCAGGAACTTCCGTGTGAGATCTCTAACTTTTACCCCTTAGTTGTCTGTGACCCTGGTATAAGCACTGCATTTTGTGGTTGTTTTTTTTCTTTTCACTATTTTTCTGGTTTTCGAAAGCAGTTTTTGTGCTGCAACTTCAGGACAGACAACCAAGAAAGCGAAGTCCCTCTTTCCCCACTATGTGATGAGCTCCACAGTTTAGCACACAGCCCCATGCTCCCTGACCACCTTGTGCCAATCTTTTGAGACCGTCCGTGCTGCACCACTGTTCAAGACAAGCTGTCCTAAACCCCTGCCTACTCCACTCAATCGCTGTTTTAAAACTTCCCCGTAAATACAAAGCCACCCTTGCTGGCACCCCAGAGGGACCTAGAGCATGGTGAATGTGGTCCTCCAGCATTGCCACCACCACCTGGGCTCCCGCAGGACGGTGGCCTGCAGAGTGGCTGTGTGCTGCAGCCTGAGCAGCTTCTCCTGGGAGCCTTCAGGCATGGGTTGCATTAATGGGACCACTAAGTGATGGCTCTGTGGTCATGATTTGCAGCTGTAAACAGCAAAGCTTGTATTGGAAACGACAGGACCCACAATTACAGGCTTTACTGATGACACAAGGCTCCAGTGTATACCAAGGTGGCCCCTGAGGACCTGCCTAGGCATGTGCTGGGCTTGATGGCAAATGTGGGATGGGCTCCTGGGGGCCAGGACTTTACAGTGGTTTAATCCAGAAATGAGGTTGGGTTACAGACCACGCATGAAATAAATACACTCAGACTGGTGGAGTATTTGACCTAGGTCTGACAGCCTGGGCTTCTGTTCGTTAAGCAAATAAACTTCAGAGGCTATATTAGTAGCCCCCCACCTGTTTCTTCTTAGTCCCTCCTTTCAAGGCTTTGCACTTTTGTTTGAAACCAGACGCTCGCCCTCGCATCCCTCCCTGGGTTACCCTGACCCTCAGGGCAGCCTCATGCCTGCGGGGAGCATCCTCGGGGGGCTGCAGAGCACAGCAGCCAGGGAGGGGAAGGACGAAACTAGTCAGAGAAATCGTTCTCCTGTAAAACATGCAGGTTAAAGACATGCTTTTATCCAGAGAGGTGCCTGAAATGAGATTTCCAAATCCCTGCCACAGACATCTCAGTAGGGACCCAGTTTTTGAAATATGTCATTTATCCAACTGGAATTTGACAAGAGATCAGGCCCATATTTGAAAATCTGGCCTTTTGTAGCTGTATGTTCTTTTTTCAGATAAATTATGAATTTAAAAAAAAATCAAGTATTTCTAGTAAATGGTTGTATTAAACAGGTAATCCTTCTCAAATACTGGATTAGGAAAAAAAAAAGAATGCAAGTGCTCTAATCTTACAGGATTTAGTGTAATAAGTCTATAAATATTTTTGCTTTGTAAAGGTGCTTGAGGCAGAACAGGCTGGACGTGAGGCTTAGAGCTTTTCCCCAAGACAGCAACAATCGAAAATCATTCTCCTTCCACAGCCACCCAGAACCAGAGCTGACCATCCCAGCCCAGGAAGACAACCAGCATCCTCCCTGGCCGGATCCTGCCCTGCTCAGCATCTCCACACACAGACTCTGGGACACAGACCAGGGAGCGAAGGAACATCAACACTGATTTTGTATCTGACCTCCTGAGGTTTCGTGGACAATGGCTGAGAGTCAGTGACCATCAGATTCCCCTGCTGTGCTTTGGTGTAGCATGACACCAGGACCCAATGCTGAAAGCTCTGGAGATTTAGGTTCCCATCTTGGCTCTGCTACAGTCTCCTCTGTATCCCTGGGCAAAAAGCTTAACCTCTCCTGCAGCTGGTTTCCACAGCCGTAAAATAGGAAATAGTACTTTGCTCTATTTGCAAAGTGCTTTGAGATCCTCGGAGGCACAAGGCTATGGAAGTACTTTTATTACCAGTATAAGAAGATATATCGATGGAGGCAGTCAATCCACACCATCCAGGAGCACAACATTCATTTTTTAAGTAATACCTAGTTTGCTTTCTGTTCAATGCTAAACTTTTTCCGCTGCTCTGTGCCACATAGAATTTATAAATTCAATGACAGATTAATCTTAGCAGTGAGCCATTTGGCATGAAAAAGGGTTTCACAGGGAGCCTGCTTTTTCCTGTAAAGAGCATGCATTTAGGAGTGACTATACGGAGAAAGACCCTGTGCACTTATTCAAGCACAAGTCTCTGCCCTCCGTCATTACTCAGAATTAGAAACCAGAATGGATTACTCAGATTGTTCCGAAGGTTTGTAGCTTTTTCTGCAGAAGGAGGGTTGGGTAATTGATTTTGACACTAATACCAGCACTATTCATATGCCCTGTAATATAATTCTGCAGCGACACTAAAAAGGCAGCCATCAGATCTGAAGAAGGAAAGCGCTATATGATTTGCCCTGGACAACCCTAGCTATTTTAACAGCTGTGTTGTATATTAAAAGGGAGAAATCCCAACAGAATTAAAAACAACAAAGTCACATTCGCCTTTGAGGAAAAACAAGAAACCGTAAACTTTCCTAATAAAACAATCCCTCCCACTAAGCGCTAGAGGAATGGTTGAAAGTGCTGTCCCAAAACTCCTGTCTCTTTTGGAGGGCATCAACCAGAGAGGCACTACCAGCAAACTTGGGAATAAACAGATACTCATCAGCCATACCCCCCACGCACCCTTTGCTTAAAAAGGCATTGTTTCCTTCTTCGGGATTTTTCTTTCATCAGGAAACCCCCTCCTCCGACTCCAGACAGAGCAGAAAATATAGGTTTATGTCCCCCAAGCTTTTCTGTGAAACTCGAATCACTGATTTTGGCCACCTCTCCTCAAAGACTAAGTACCAGAGTGGAGCGAGCCTCTCTGGCAGAGGGCAGACACTGCCAGTGACGTTGTGAGATGGGTCTAATCCTCCAGAAGCCACCGCAGTTGCTGAATGCCACCTTCATGCCTGGCAGCCCCATGGGGCAGCAGGAAGAGATTTCTGAAGGAGGCTTCTGGCAACCATTCCGCTTCAGTGAATATTTTGGGCTTTCTCAGACCAATGTCTATCCTCTCCTTCATTTTAAGTCCGTCTCTACCTGGCCTCCTAACACATGGCCCCAGTGGTGCCAGCGAGGTGTCATCACCCCCAAGGGGACGTAATGAAGGCGTGTTGGCTGCTGATGCCAGCACCACCTCCACTGCAGCACAGCCAGGACGAAGCCCCACTGCTTCTGGCTCCTGGCATAACCGATGGGAGCTGGGATAACCGAGGGCAGCCTTCACACAGATTTGTCCTCAGGCACCAACAGGGAGATACTTTATCTGCTCTGCCACGTCGCCCCCCACCCATGTAGGTACAATACCGCATTTGATAGCTTTTCCTGGCATGCTGTTTTAGTCAAGATGAACAAAGAGATACTCCCACCTTCTCTTCTTTTGCGGTGGGCTCTGTCATATAGCTAAAGCTTTCTGAATGCATGATCTGCTCATGAAATTCAGCATGAGCCAACTGTTTTGAACACTGGCTTAATACAGTGGCTGCTGTGATCCTTTCCAGTCTCCCAGGGTTTGAGCCAAATTATGTTCTCAATTACACGGAAGTAGCAGTAGTTAACCCAGTGAAGTCAT